TACAGATTACCAATTTGTGTTTGTCATTTTATGAAATGCCTAGTTATTATACAGAATATTTAGGAAATGTGTGTAAAAAAAAAATTATTATACACTTTTTTAAAAACCACCAGGTATTATATAGAATTCCTAGGCATTTTATATATTAAATATATTATACACATTGCCGCTAACATATATATATCAAGTCGTCTGTATCGTTAGATTTAGTTTATTTATCGACGTATATTTTTAACACATATATTTCATAGAAATATTACATATAATATACACATCAGAATATATGAAGAATTCATCGATTTCGTTTAATCTACATTGACTTTTTACGTAGCGACTCAAGTTGGAAATGTCTCGGAATAAGTTCAGTCTTTAGTTGAAAATAATAAAACTTTTATATTAAACGTTTACGTTTGAAAAGGTTTTAAAATAAAATTTATTTATATTTTTTGCTTATTTCAAATCACATTAAGTTCCTAAACATTTAATAAGTTGTTTTTATAAATAAACTTCAAACACGTATTTAACGTTTTAATGCGCTGTGTATTATGGAAATACATTTATGTCGACGAATTTTATCAATTTTTAAGTTTTTTTTTACGAATTGTACTATTTATATCTTTTAAAATTTTGAATTTTTTTTTATTATGTTTTTTAGTTTATTTACAGATCTATAATATTAAAGATATGTATCCACATTTTTTTATGGGATGATTTAATTTTTAACATTGCTATAACTATTTTATTGTTTGTACTTTATATCTTTATACAGGGTGTAACACTAATATTTGTAATGGAAATTTATTAAATAGTCCTGTTACACCTTATATAGTTTATAAATGATTTGAATTTTTCGTAACAATAAATATCATTATTACGAAACTGATATTTTTATAAAAATTATAAGACTGTTTTCTAGAAATTTTATTTTATTGCAACTTTTTAATAAAACCTTATATGTAAAAACAATATCTCGCTTAATAATTACTATGTCCATGTAAGAGATCACCTACTTTTGTTGGAATTTACCATTTCCCTACTATATATATATATATATATACATATATGTATAGTACACTAGTATATACCTATTGTTACGCCAAATAAAAAGTGGCTCTCAAGTCAAAATATGTTCTCATTAATATTTCTGAAATTGATAATTTCCAAAACGAGATGTATAGTTTTATGCGATATACTATATAGTTCGTTCAGTTAATTGTCTCCGAATAGCTAACCAGTGTATACAAAATATTAAAAAGGTATACACGCGAGTTACATAGTATATTATATAATTTATGCACATAAGTAGAGTAGGTACAAAATTGCTCGTGATAATATTATCCTTTGTAATTATTTAGACAAATCTGTTAGTGTTATACTGTTGTTGTGCGTGTATGCGTATGATATTATGACAAAAGAAGGATTTGGTGTTAAATATAAATATCGAGTCGTTTGCATATAATAAACCGCAGCAAATATAGCAATCTAAAACGAACAATTTGCGAGTCCCCAGGTTATCAATATTATAAAGCAGTAAGCCCCCAGCGGTGTTCTTATTATACAATTATTAATCATTAGCGTTGAAGGTACTTTGACATTTGCATTAAATATATCATATATAATTTTAAGAATTTTGCGTGAAATTGTACACCTATTATAGTATAGGAGTGTCCTATAGTATAAAAACTAATTTATTGTATTAACAATATTATGAAACAGTTTTACTCCAGATACGAATTACAAAAAAATTATACACAAGTCGAAAAAAACAAAGTAGAACATTTCAAATGCCTATACATAGCACAAAATGGCCAAATTGTTTATATACAATTATATCACGTCTATAGAATATCCTAATATAAAATATTTTCTGAAAATTCAAGTTTCTATACAGTTATTAATTTTTGAATTACCACAAAAAACCAAAAACTTTTGGTCGAAATCCAGTTTTATATACAAATYCCTGCTTGTCGTTCATTTTTTTTTCCTGATTGTTTTTAAAAGAGTACACTTTTGCTTTATACTCCTGACTCCTGAGTCCTGACACCCGAAAACAAAATAAAAACTAGCATTGAAATTGAAGATTGAAGCAATTTTTCTATTACAAAAAGTGTTAAATCCAAAAAATTAAAATTAAAAATTAGATTAAAAAAATTCATCATTGTAAAGTGTATACCAATATATCATCGCTACACCCAGCATATTCTACAGTCCCAATTGAGTTCATAAAATATTTAATTCGTAATATTTTTCAATTCTCGTGATAGATTTTTCGTGAAATTTTGTGCTAGAGATTATAGATTGTGAAACGAATAAAAAAAAAATAAGGATTTTGTGAATCAATTGCGAAACGATTAACTCTTTATATTTAACTTCGTATAGCGTCCAATCGTTTAAAAACAATTTTCTTTCTCGATCTAATTATACATGCTGTCATCATGCGTATATCCAAAAATATTGAAATATTATTTTAAGATTAAGTCGTATAGCGAGATACCATAAATATCATGTTTGTAGTTATCCATAAATATTATAGCTTATTCGTATTGATATTGCCCCCTGTAAAGTATTATATAATTACCTTTATTACCCCGTCCCTTGCTCTTGCACTTTTTCGTGATCTGTCTGGTCTTCTCGCAGTTTGAGTTCTCAGTAGACGGATCCTTGAGTGTGTCCGTCCTGATCATTTCGTTATGCGAGTTACATTGACTCCACGTTCCCTTCACATACCGGCATGCTAAAACAATACACGACCCAATACGTACAACCATATATACATGCATTTAAATATTGTTTAAAAGCTTTAGCTATAATACGTGTGTGTGATGTGTGGTAACTATATATAATTAGTGGACGTGACCACTATAACTCTTCAAAGTTAAATGACTAGCTGAGCTCCAGAAATAGAATTGATAAACAGATTATGGGCTTAAGTCAACTGTGACACTGCTCTGTGATCCGTTAAACGTGATTTCCGTAAAAAAATTCAGGGCAACGATTTTCTGATTCGTTTACAATTATGTGGTTACTGGTTATGAAAATAATTATCAAGTAAAAAGTTGAACTGATAGGTGATTGKGTCATTGTAATAACAAGAAACCGGTTACCACTTATTCATCACCAAAATGAAAAGTAATATAATTTTGAGAAACCACGGATAAATTTTTTTTCTCGGAAATCACGTTTCATATATAGAGCAGTSTGAAGCCGTTATTATTCTAAGAATTTTTTCCTGCTGCTCAAAGTGTCGATGACTGGTGACTGATAAGAATATGTGAAGGTAATTTTTAAAAATATATTTATATTATTTTGATATTTTATAATATTAAGATGGGATTTTGGAAATGTTAGGATTGAAACGAATTTAATAATATGATGATTATTATCGGATTTGTAGAATTTTTGTTATTTCCTACTGTTTAATGTGAAAATATTGTGAAATTAATCTGATAAGCCTACAGATATCCAGATGGGGTATATATAGATAGAGACCTTTTACTAATTGACCAGCCCTCTTCACGTTTCCACTGTGTCAAGATGGGTGACYGAGTAACTCAGTGATATAAATAAATATATATATATATATACATATTTAAATCGACCGGGCTGCATCACTGCGCCATGTCGACATGCGACTATCAATATATTTGGTATCGGATGGGCCGGTCTATGATGGGTATATACTACAACAGCTTGTTTTGTATTTTATATGTACTTGAAAGGTTGTAAAAAGACGTAATTTATTTAAGTATAAAAAGGTTGAGCAGAGGTGAAGGTACTATGTAATGTTGGTGATTGTCGTTATTACCATTGCGATGTGTGTTTTCAAAACAAAAATGTTAAGCCCACAAAACATTAATTTATAAAGTAAAGCCCATTAAGAAGCTCTAGGTGGCCGAGGTCGTTTTTAAACGAGAAGAGATTCGTTTGTTACCTCGCTGGTCATTCCGTAATGGGTTTTTAATGCGATCAAATGATTCTTATCACCCCTATTGTGTTTACAATATATAATAATATTATATTATAATAATATACCGTGCAAGTATATTTGACCTGTTATAAATGAAAAACCTCAATAATCGCATGCCACGCATTTTAGTTAGTCGCTGTTATAGCTTAAATAAATCTTAAACATAGATCGTACCTTTTTTGCACTTCTTTTCAATCTTCTTGGTCTTCTCGCACGTCTCGTCGCCTTTTTTCAGTGTCAACGTGCGCGCCTTCACATTGGTCTTTTCATCGCATGGGGACCACTGAGTCTTTTCATAGTGACAGTTGGTTTCTGTTCATTAAAAATAAGTTTTAAAACAATATTACTATTTTTCTGTCGGTTTTTCGTAATTTTATTAATATGATGAATATGGTATCAATATACCATATCACCATAAAAATAAACACATAATGTTATTTTATTTTAAAACAGGAATACTTGCCTTTTCCACCATTGGCAGCTCTGGCCAAACGGTTCAATGATTGTTCGTTCGGTCCGGTCTCGTTTGAGCTGACCATTGCAATGGCCACTAACAGGAAGCTAACCATCATGATACTTAAGCACTTCATCTAAAAAAAACACACACAATTGAATAATGTATCATACAATCTGCATCAAACCGTATAAATCGTGTGTGTTTGAACATATACATCATAACAAGGTACTATGTTTTAAATAAAATAACGATACTAACATCGTTAAGTGCGTGAAAAAATTATTTTATTTTTGACAAATTCAAAATACATTTGATCTTCAAAGGTGGATTTAGTATTTATAGGATGTATCTACCTAGGTTACTTGAGCTTATAGACATAATATATATATATATATATATATAAATTTGACATTATAAAAGCTTTAAAATACAATTTGTAAAAATAAAATATATTCAATTTATTTTTTATTCATAGCCAACATTTTTTTTTCACATTATGAATACTATTATACCATATAATACCTACGTTGAATTAGTAGAATGTTTATTCAAGTAAGCAGATCTATAAAAAATCATCTATTAGTTAATTAATTTTCATTATGGATGAATTATATTATATTATTATAATTATATTATAATTACTTATAAAMATTGGGCAAAATTACATTAATATGGGTATTAGTTAGTGATCAGTGAAGCGAAAAGTACATATTATAGAATGTTTTGTATTATATTATGTTTGGTTAAATATAATAAATTTCACTAAAATTGAAGTAAAATACCGAAAACTATATACCCCTTTTAAAAAGCTTGAAATAATAAACAACTGCGAGTTACATTTTCGAAAATATATGTCTATGGATCTAGTACTTTTTAGGGAAATTGGTTATTTCACTCATGCTAAAAATTAAATCAATGTCAAAATATACATAAAATAGAAATGAAAATGTGTAATAAACGGAACACATAACACATTTTTAATATCTAACAAATTTTTGTTTTCGGTAAACGATTGACTATAGATGAAATCAATCCAATCAACATCTAATATTAGTTATTAGTTATTACAGACGTAAATCGCAATCAAATCATCTTTAAAGACATATCAACCAAAAATAACAATTTATTCTTGTATAGATATTTTCATTTAATTGATTAAAATAAAATTTAATCCATTTTTCAATACATGTAGTGTGTTGTATTGTTATAATACTGCAAGGCTTATGTTTAAACACATTATAACATCACATAAACACATACATGAAACATACTATATCATGCATGCTACATACATATAGACGTAAATAAATATTTTATTTTTCTAGTGTTTCGACCAACTGCGTGAATTTTGACGAAAAATAGAAAACCAAAACATGCAGGCTTACAAGATTTTGTTGTAACAAATAAATGTTTTGATTGGTCCTTCACAATGAGGGATTGAAAATACGAGAGAAACCATTTATTTTTCGAACGTGATGTAAGTAGTAAGTACTAAAAACCCTTTCAGTATTTCTCGTCGTTTTGAAAAGTCACGTTTCACAATGCAGCCCAGTCGGTTTGTCTGTAAATCCTAAACGTGAACATGACACTTTGATCACGGAAATCATAAATTAGTGGTCATTGGTTAGTAAATGTGTATTATTAGGTAGTTGTTTGTTAGCATCTCTGTTCTTTGTATATGTCAGAGAACTAGAAAAGTATTATTATGTTTCGTACGCGGTTAAGAAAAAAAAACATATTTAAATATAAGGGGAACAATTTAAAACTTGGGAATAATTAATTTATCTATTTTAGAGTAGTGAAGTAGTGTATTGTAAATGGGTAATAATTAAAAAGCAACAATTCTATAGTCAAATCAACATCTAGTTTTTTTGATTAATTAGGATATGTGTTGTAATGCCATAGCATTATAGCAATCATAATAGTACTTTTAATTGTGTTATATATGAAAATAAAAAAATTGGTAATATTATGACCACATTTTGTAAAATATGTTAATATCAATTATATTGATATCACAAAATATATATCTTATATTAATTGGTGTTCTATAAAAATAACATAATTTTAGCTAATACTTTAAACATTATAAATTATAATGTATAAATATTTTAAGCATATAATATTTTTTTTCTCTCTGTAAACAATGATTGGTAGAATTGCTTGATTGACCACTGACCAGTAATCATAATAATTACCATAACAAAAATCAATATATATATACACTTTCATACCTCGACCACAAAACAAAAAAACCGGAATCTACAACTACAAACAAATCTACAGAAGTTATATCACATGGATGTTTACGGCTGAATACAAAAAAAAAAACAAATACTGAATTACAACTTAGTCAATGTCCACTCCTCTTCACAAAACAATGCACTTAATGGAAAATGAACATCGAAAACAACATCAAGAGAAAAGGACATGGATAAAATAACTTCCTTTTCCCCATTTATAGATAGACTGGCATTATATTATGAAATAATCAAAAAGCACACCCACACCAAAAATTGTATAATTATTAATAATTATCATTGTTATTATCACCATTATTAATATTATTTCCACTATTTAACCATGCTTTATATAATTATGAATATATATGTTAATGTATGTGAGGACACATACAATTTTTTTTAACGGGGGTATGTTGTAATACCTATTATTACATCTATAAATGTACGATATTTAATAAACAACCGTGAATGCCGAATGGGAAAATCACAACTAGCACAAAATAAGTAGTGACTCGTCAATTATAAAGACATAGATCAGCATAATTGTAAAAGCAATGCACTACTTAAAGCCATGCGAGTAATACACAAGACTCCGACTCTCTGGGATCGTAGTGAAGAATGTGAACGATTTCGAGAAGAAGGCCGTCTTGTGTGAAGTGTTGTTCCTGCCACTGCCGTATATACGTAATAAGCATTATATCTTTATTTATCATTACTTATTACCTATTTAGACCTCTGGTGATTATTGTTATTTTAAATTATAACATATGAACACGCATAATTTCCATGTCAGTGTTTGTTTTATATTTATTATTTAATGAGGAATTTGTTTATTATTTTTATTATTATTTATACCTATAGAATTATGATGTTGATTCCCGATGTATTTAAAAATTAATTAATGATGATTCACGCTCGACTAAAATATTATGTGAACACAAATAGATAGGTCAAAATAATACAAATTAATTATAACATAGGTTTCAGTATCGAAACGAAAATTGTGTAAATGCTCTTTCATTTCGCGTAAATCACAATAAATAATAATATAATTTAATGTCTTATACTAGTGTGCATATAACTTTTATTACTTAAATAACGATATTGATTGATGTAATACCTAAGTATAGGTAATCTGCATATATAGAAAACGGTTGTAAGAAAATTGTAAAACGAAAAACACTTATAATTGTATAATAAATGAATAACATACCTACACACTGACACTGTAGTAGTATTACTGCTACTGCAGAGGAAAATTGTATAGTATTATACCGGCTTTTAAATAAGACATAACCTACTGTTGTTGAGAAAGAAATAATACGATGCTTGTTGTATATAAAGGCAAGACTGAGCTTTAACATTCAAAGATCTTGTTATTGTGTGGACGTATGTAAATGTGAAGGTATGCTTATGGTTTTAAGGGTCCTGTACACTACACGTAGTCTGCGTTTACGATATTTTTTAAACTAAATAATAATATAATGCCTGCGTAGACCCTTAAAAATTGTTGTACAAACAGAAATCACGGTTATTATTCTCAATTCTTATCTGTTTTATTGTGTTTTTCTTTTTCCGTGTACTAGCTATACGCTTTAACCTTGATAGAAGTTTACGTGTTTGCTAGAAGCTTTTGCACTAAAATCTCATGGAATTTCATCGAATCTTATTCAATTTATCGATATGTTTTTTTCTGCTGTATCGAACCGCAAAACAAGTCAACTTTTCAATAATCCGTTCAATTTCTATATGCGACTAATTTTAAAACGTACATGGTAAAATTACTGTAAAAGTGCACTCAATCAAAACTGATCGGGTTTCGTTAGCACCAAATGCTAATTTATAGGCAACCATGATTCGATTTACACAGAAAAAGAAGTTTCGAGCGAGTTCGTAATATAATTAAATTTAAATTCCATAAAAAAAGATTGGTATTGTGTAAATGATAGATATTGATTTTTTTCTAAATAACCACTTCAGAATTTCTGTAAATTTTCCTACGATAGTATTTTACTAATGTATTTAACTTTAGGAACAATAAATTTATCAAACGATTTTAAGTTCAACTATATATTATGACCTAACTGGTCAAAGTTATAAGTGCTTACTGGTTATTGCGATAAATTGGTTTGTGCTCAGCACAAAAGAAAATTATTTTAAATCGTAGTGCCAAGTACAATATTGTTATCAGCTACAGTTAAAACGTTGATTAGAGCTATTTTATAGGTTTATCAGCAATTACAATTTAGTATGATATTCTTTTTTTGTGCGTTTAAATTTTATTTTTTTACCGAATACCTAATTAGAACTAATTTATTTTAAACTTCAAAATGAAAATTAATGTACAGATATAATAATAATTCATTGATTATCATAGGTTTACGATTCTATTTGCAGGTCAATAAATGGCAATTTTTATTTATCGGAAATTAGTAAGCTTAAATGACATTTTTTATGAATTATTATAAATTATTACTGATTACAGATTAATGATTTATTCTAAACATATTCTTGTTTATTAATGGATCAAATAAATTTATGAAAACATATTATTCTGAAGTTTTAAATAAAACTGTAAAATTATGTGTAATAGGTACCTATATTTCRATATATATGTAGGTACAATGAATCAACAATGACCTACATATCTGCAGAAGGCTACGTAGTAGTTATAATGGATCACTAACGGTACACCGTTATAATAATATTCTGGAACGTATATTTGAAAATAATTATCACCTACACAAAGATAAACTTCTTGGAAGGTCGGGTGGGTAAAGGAGGCGCCCCAAAAGATGTGCTGTATAAATCTTTACTAGAACATATCCGGTGGATGATTGCCAAGTTTTTGGTTTATTCACAGTTTATATATATATATATATATATATAT